GTCTACGGCATCATTTTTAACGATCTAATGGGACGTAACAGAGTTAACACGGTTAAGACAAAGATCGGGAATATCTCTAATGACTCCGGAGTCCACCATGTCCAGTCGGCAGTCCGACTATCATTCTAGTAGTTTAGGATTTATTTTCAGCGATGGTCCTTTGATGAACATGGAATATAAACCCATTAAACCGAGGAATTATTCTTCCATTACTTGATGGATCTCTGGAAAAACCATAATAGAGTGTTCGATAATTTCCCATTAATTTTCCTAAGGGATGTGTCCGGCTTTATAATAAAACAATTAGGAAAATAAACGTGAGTTATGCGAAATTTTATTAAATAAATATCAGATCATGACAGCTGATTAGCAATCCCACATTAACCAACATATAAACAAAAAATCTGTACACTGTAATAGAAAATCGTTATACACGACAAAAAGAACTAAGAACAATTATTTATCAGTAATTTTGCTTTGAGAATATATAACGCTATTAGTACAATACAATAAACGTGCAAAATAAGAGGATAAAGACGAATGACAGTGGAATGAAAATAATTCAGCTTTTCCTCTTGAGGCGACGACAGGTTTTCGGAATGAGAGTATTTTAAAATTGAATTCGTAAAACGTTAACGTCAACGTAACTGGATTTTTCTCGTACGTGAGTAAATTTATGAACTAGTGTTAAAATAAAATTTTGACATTAAAGGTACAATATGATTTCGAGCAAGTTCTTAGCTTTTTTCAAATATTAATTATTAATACATTGGAAATTAACCTTTAATTGTAACGGTACAAATGATGTTGCTAAATAATTTATATTAACTTTTGTTAATCGTGGTCACCCTTTTGCCTGTTCCCAAAATAATTTATGCTATTTATTTGATCTTAGCGGAATTATCTCTTTGCACTAGATAAAATAAAAACCTTGATAATTTTGTGAAATTTTTTTGTCAAGTTGCATAACCTGATGCCAAAAAGTCTAAATTCCGGATTCAAATTTACTCATTAGCTACTAAGCAGCGTTACAGATTTAAGGACAGATCTGAATCATATTTCTCACCTTGGTCGGAATACTGACGAAAACGTTATGATTTTATGATAATTAAAAGAAGACCATTGTATTGTGGAACACGGATCTTTTATGTTTTTAGAATCAGTATGTTACTAGACTTTCCATTGAAGGAAAAGTCCAAGAGTTTTTCCCCAAGAGGGAAGTTTTGTCGAGTGAATGACGTCAGTGTGAAAAAGGGAGGCCCTACAGAAACAAATCTCAATCTCTCATTCACGGGCTATTCTTCTCCGCTCACCTTTTGAGCAGAATCCCAAATGTTTCGTTGGTTCAACTTTCAATTTTGGTATATCAATTTGTCTATTTATATAAATAATTATTCCACGTTCCGAGTACCCTTCCGTATAAACGTATTATGTTTTTCAAATAATTAATTAACCAAATAATAGGCAGTCATATATTTGTGGCCTGTTGGTGTCTGCACTTTCAGGACAATACCTTTAATGAATAACAGTAACTGTTAATCGGTAAAGTAACAAATTTCAACGTCCTGGAGAACTTAGAGATATACAGACAAAACATTTAAAGATGGAAAGCTTACATATAAACGCACATTCATTCACTCACACCTATCACATCACTAAAAACACTACATAACAAAAAACGGAAACGTGCGGAAGAAAGCAAATCCAACAGAAAACTAAAACCTAACAAAACACAAAAAAAATACTAACCGACAACGGAAATAGAAGGCATCATTGCTGACCAACGCCTTAACGACGCCCGTAGCGACAACCGACGAACCTAATGTCATATAAAGCCCTTCACGGGCAACGGGAAAGACCTACTGATAGATGAACTGAGGTTGAAAATTCAAACTGAAGATGAAAAGAGATAACTATCGAGTATTACAACAAAACAGATATACAATGCCCTATTTCTCGTTTTCCTACAAAAATCGGGACAGGAAACCCAAACAGTTGATACCGTTCTCAAGTAAACCTCTCACATCGGGTGGCATTCCTACACGCTCTCTATACGGAGCCAAGGAATGACACCCTTCAAGTAAGTGGGACATATCGAGCAACCTTTCTCTGCAACCGGTCATATTCGTGGGCTTTGGCAGAAAAGTAAAGGTGCAGTGTCAACCTTGCATGATACCCATTACAGTTCGTGGTCCAATTGACCATTAACGTTTTTCAATTAATTAATATTTATGAAAGGTATTGGTTGAGATAAAAAAGTCAGTGTCACGAGCGGGATTCGACCGCACTACCTTCGGCTAAATTCGGCGCTATTCTACCACTTGAGCTATCGTGACTTCGGTCAAATAGTTTACACGACATTTGAAAAATGGCAAAAAAGTGGGAAAATTCGAGAGGTGAGGTGGAGATGGGAAGTTAGTGTCCGAGCGGATCGAAGTTAAGTTAGCTCAAGTGGTAGAGTAGTGGCGTATTTAGCCGAAGGTCGTGCGTTCGAATCCCGCTCGTGACACTGAAGTTTTTATCTCAACCAATATTTTCATAAATATTAATTACTTGCATGATACATTCATTGGAAGTCGATGGTCGCTCTTTTACGATTCAGATGCTCTGAAGGCTACCTGTCTAGTTATGTGTAAAATAAATCATTTTAATTGTAACATAACCTTTAAAGAAGTCGAAAAGCCGAAACCCATCCGAAAGAAAAGGAAGATGAGCTTAAATTTTTTTTAAATTTCTCCGATTGTTCAGGTTGATTTCCTGTTCCTTACCACAAATGGAATTTTTTAAAACATTTGCTTGGGATTTCTAGTAGGATGATGAACCCAGATTTGGTTGTTTACGATCCTCGTCCGCATAGTCCCGCCGTTTTTCCTGTCAAAAATTTTGCCTTCTTCAGTCTCTCGTAAATCTCTCGTTTCACCTATTTGAAATTTTTAGTTATTTTTACTGTCTAGTTAATATGTATTTTTAGTAATTAGGCTATCAGCCTGTAATTATAATTAATAAGTAAATAAACTTATCACTCTTATATTATTTCTCCAGTTTATAAGTAAAAATAAAATTTAATGATCGTGTGATGCGGTCTGGTGTGATGTATGTTTAGAAAACTCTGAGTTAACACAAATACTTTGACTAAACCTAAAATTTCAATACTGTGTACATCTTTGCATAAATGATGTTTATAAATCCCAGGCCCTGATGATGATCCCAATAAAGATCGAAATGTTGGCACGATAAAGAGAATGTTTTTCTAAACCTACATCACACCAGACCTCGTCTCACGATCTCTCAATAATCAATAAAATTTACATTGATTTTTGTTTGCATTTGGATGTTTACGATCCATCCTAGTGGATGGATGCTAAGCATTTCGTCATTTTCAGTAGTTTTTTCTGTGTCATTTACCTATTTGAGATTTCCAGTTGGCAGTACCGAGGAATTATTACGACTGGTCAGATGTTCCCATCTTTACTTATTAGTGTTGAGAACCATGAGGATCATTAACGTCCGGACTTATCCTCGAGGGGACTTCTCGGACGCCCGATGTTGGAGAACACCAGGAAGATTTTACATGCATGGACTTATCACATCCCTTGGCTACGAGGTGGTGCAATGCTAACCAAGTTCAGAAATGCCCTGAAAAAGGCACATCCATACATGTGCCTTGAAAAAGGCAGTTTTGCGGTTTCCGGCACGACCTTTCAGCCGTGTCTTTCGCCACCCCCGGAGAGAAAGAAAAGGCACTCTATCTCCGTCTCCAGTTGGCCGGTACCCTCCAGCTAAATTCCAATTTATTTACAAACCACGACCACCACGAGTCCAACCTCAGTTAGTAGAACCGCTTGGATACTCTTCTCCAGTGGTTCAGTATTATTTTAAAGGTGGGACTGATCATACGAACCCCTTACTGATGCACCGGTTGCCTAAAGGGTGCGGGTTCAGTAACCCAGGAAGCCTCTGCCAAAACAGTGGTGGGAGGAGGAGGGAAAAGGAAAGGGGTAAGGATAGGGAATGTAATAAGGAATTTTGCCTCCATATGGTTACCCCCAGGTACCAGGGTTGATGTCGGACTTTGCCTGGGCCCACAAGGAAGGTGTCCCTTGGGTAGTTTTTTTCTTTTTTTGTGTGTCACAAGCGGGATTATTACTACTGACCATGAGGTTCCCGAGAACTCTTCGTCACAAGGCTCTTTAACGTCCGCAACCTGGCCTATTCGGCCTCATCGGACGCTTTGATTCTCAAGATGCAAGCTGACCCACCTCCGCATACGATGGAATGGTGTAGAGGCGCCCCAGCCCCTAAGGGCCAAGACAACCTCGTTCTCCCTTTGTCCGCTCCGAATGGTCGGGCCCGCATTGTGCATCGGGTCGTATGCCGCACGCAAAGGGCTAGCAAGCCGAAATACAACAGCCTGTTCTCCCGCGTACTCCCTAGATAGAGAAGGCGCCTAAAATCTCTTATCCAGCTCAGCCTAAAAGTAAGTACTAAAAGCTACTTACTAAAAGTAAGTAAGTAGTACCACTGGCCACTGAAGAAATTGCGAAATATGTCATCCAGGCAAAACGAACCAAGCAAGGACCTGGATAATCGTAAATGACCAAATTCATCACCCCGCAGTCCTGATCCAATTAGTTTAGCTGTTTTCGCCTGGCAAGCTTCTTGACGTCATCAGTGGCTTGCCTGTGTGTCATTTTACCTATTTTAGATTTCCAGTTGGTAGTACCGACGAGTGACAGGCTAAACTAAGTGGACCAGGCTGATCGTAAAACCATTCTTACAAATTCAAGTGTTTTTTTTTTATTTCCATGGTATTATGTATATTAAAATGTATGGCATGCCATTTCCTGTTCAGGAAGCGTTTCTGAGGTATTTTTGTAGAAAATTTCAAACAGAGTGTTATATATTGGTATTTTGTAAACCGTGAACTATTTATGTATTTTGATACTTTTTCTATAGAAAATATATTTGAATTAAACATGTGATTGGTTTTAATTTTTCAGACGTTCCAGAAGAAGACTGGAATCCACAGTTTGGGGAGCCTATATCAAATGTGACCGTCCCGTTAGGAAGGGAAGCCGTTTTGTCTTGCGCCGTCAAAAATCTCGGCCATTTCAAGGTGAATTGAAATTATGAATTTTATTTCTTTCAAAATACGACGATATTTGATTTTCGAAACGTTTTCTATTAAGCCCACGACAATTTTATTGGATTCGGCTTCTTCAACTTTACACCGAATCTTAGTTTATTCTGATGCTTACACGTTTTAAACAAACTGGATGTGTGAGCGTCGTATCGACCTGGGCTTAGCCGGACGATGTTCAGAGGCTTTTCTCTCATTTCTCAATGTCACTCAGATATTTGAAAAAATTCCTTCTAAGAGATCGCTTGTGTACCGGATCGATGTCGGACTTATTATCGCCCTACAGCTTTGTGCAGTAACACTTTACTATTTCAAATAAAACTTTAAATTAAAACCAGCTAGTTAGCTGTAATTGTAAGCCCCTCAACAAATCAAATCTTTGCAATAAAGAATAACAGTTTATTATTTTTTTGAAACGTACGACAGTGGATAAAAGGTATTGGGCTATTCCAATGTCAATTCTATGGTAATAATATGAAAAGAGAAAATGTAGGATTTTATAGCGGCCTGGAGCTTTTCTCATTCAATGCTATGGCGGGTCGCTTCTTAAAGTGGACTGTATAGTAACTTTGTAAGTTATTCCCGGAATGGAGTATACATATACCCCCGGAATCCTCTGCCTTTATACAATTCCTGGATGATGTAGGGATCCGCAAATGTACAATTCATAAATACCATCTTTTCACCTGGATCTGATGTGTTTTTCCACTTTCCTCACTCAGGATTTCGGTTTTGAAATAATTGAAAGCATTGTTGCTATTCTACTTCAAAGTCAAAAGATCATCTTTGTTTTTACTTATTTAACAAAATTACTCATTAAATACATTTTTGTTAAAACTCCCAGATTATAGGTTGCAAGAAATTTTGTTATATAAGATTTAAAAAAAAGTTATATATCCTTTTAATGCCGATATTTGATTGTTTTTGAAAAACAATTTATTAATATTAATTTTATATTACAATTAATTAAGGTAACCCATAACCTCAGTTAAAGAATTGTGGCAAGGGATAGAAAATGGTTGTCAATCTATCGCTCTGAGAAGTGGTTGAAGAATGGTTACAAAGAGCAAATCTTTGCATCTTTACGCAAGGCAGGCAGTTCGAAAATGAAATGTGATTAGTAAAATAGCAAACCAATTGACGCCTGAGGTACCCTGTATAATTGTTCTCCTGAAAAAGGTAATATTTGAAAATAGAGTTTTCAGTTGAGATAAAAAAAGTCAATGGCACAAGCGGGATTCGAACCCACGATCTTCGGCTAGATACGCCGCTGCTCTACCACTTGATCTATCGTGACCTCGATCCACTCGGACACGAACTTCCTATCTCAACCCCACCTTTTGAATTTTCCCTCCTTTTTGCCATTTTTCAAATGTCGTGTAATCGGATTGGATTCTCGACGACTTCTCTAAAGCTCTCCGTGGCCATTTCATTTGTCATCGAGAATCCAATCCGATTACATAACATTTGAAAAATGGCAAAAAGGAGGGAAAATTCAAAAGTTGGGGTTGAGATGGGAAGTTAGTGTCCGAGTGGATCGATGTCACGATAGCTCAAGTGGTAGAACAGCGGCATATCTAGCCGAAGATCGTGGGTTCCAATCCCGCTCGTGTCATTGACTTTTTTATCTCAACTAAAAACCTTAATTAATTGTAATATGTTAATTGGTCAAGCGGATCACGAAATTAGTGAATTTAGTTAATAATAATATACAGTGTATAAAAATACAGTAAATACACACAGTACAAATAATAATACACAGTAAATGTACTAATAGTTGAGTAAGTAGTTCCAAATCGAATCACTTCACAAAATTGGCTGTCCTGTAAAGTCATGTTTTCGGTACATTTTTCTATGATTTGTAGGATTCTATGATTGCAAATATATTTAGGAAGGAAATGAATGAAAAGAAATAATTCATGATACTCACAGTATTGGCTCCAAAAAGTTTAATTTGGTTTACATTAAACTAAGTATGTTGTAATTAATATAACGATAAAAGTACATATAATGACTATGTGAAATTATTGACCAGTGGTATATGAGATAAGAATCGGATCCATCCATAGTCAATAAAGAAAACGGAAACTGCAAACACTTGCCAAGCTTTTCGTCTTTATAAGGCCATTTTATATTATTTTACAATGAAAGATGGAAAAATGTTATTTGGATCTAAATTTTGAAAAAAAATCTTCAAAAATCTCTTCTGGCTTTATATTGAGCATATTTTGCATACAGAATAGCTAAGTTAATAAGGTACATGTGTGTCAATACCAAACTTTTTAAGAATTATGGATAGTAGATGAATATGATAGTATGCCGAATTGTCGACCAGTGTAAGATGTGGATCTGGCCTAATTTTCTTTCAGCTTCAGTCCCATAGTCTCTAAGAAGCCGATTGAATTACTCTTTCCCTCTCTCGCTCTTTTTTTAAAATTTTTTTCTTTAATCGGGGAATGTAATCCACGGAGTACTTTTCAAAGTTAATTAATGTCCTATCAGCGGTACCGGTTCCTCTGAAAGTTCGCCAAGCGGGAAATGTTTTCACCGCCTCCCCGACCACGAGGACCGTGAGTTCGGTGAAGCGAGCCTTGCACAGATTAAATAAATTACTTTAACAAATAGGCTTTGGAGTTCGCTTTCTATGGAATTTTGTCCCTTAGACGGCGGCTGAAAAACGGAAAAATTGTGAAAATTGACTTCGGCTTTTCACTGAACACCCATCGTTTCTTCCTTTCTGTGAGTAATGTTAAAACGTGACAAAGCTATCCATGAAATAAAACATTCTTTAAAATATATTTTGTTAGTTTTGTTGAGATCGACCTACAATTAATAACTGATACAATTAATTGTACTTATTTGGAGATCGGAAGATTCGGTCTGGTGTGACGTAGCTTTTAGAAATACATTTTCTTTATCGTGCCAACGTTTCGATCTTTATTGAGATCATCTTCAGGGCCTGTGGTTCAATTTGAATTTTAGATTCAATCAAAGTATTTGTACTCACTCAAAGTGTTCGTTTTCTGTGTAGATGTGTCATTATTATGTGTCGTGTTGAGAGTGCCAGGCAACAAATGCCAATAACAAAAATTTAAAGCAAAGTCGTTCAGTGCTGTATCAACTATATCATAAAAATATCTATTAAACGATTCCCACAAAAAAGTCCCGATATCGACGATTTAAATTCAAATATTTAATCGTTCTTTTGTAATCAAAATTGCATCTAAATATAAAAACAACATAAAACTCTACTACGAATTACATGTACTGTACGTAGGTGTATCTTTCTAGGTACATTTATATTTTTTGGAGGAAATTATTGCACTTTTTGGAGCCAATATGTATTGTGAGTATCATGAATTATTTCTTTTCATTCATTTCCTTCCTAAATATATTTGCAATCAGAGAATCCTACAAATCATAGAAAAATGTACCGAAAACATGACTTTACAGGACAGCCAATTTTGTGAAGTGATTCGATTTGGAACGTGAACGAAATTTAATATCTTTTACATTGCCAAAATATGGTAAAATATAGCATATAGCCCCTGTCAAGCTTTCAAAGTACATTACTCCATCAACAGGACATAAATTTAACCAATTTACATTTAACAAAATAATTTTAAAATTTACAATAATATTAATGTGAAAGTAGTACTTACTCAATATTAGTATTTTGTACTGTGTGTATTTACTGTATTTTTATACACTGTATATTATTATTAACTAAATTCACTAATTTCGTGGTCCGCTTGACCAATTAACATATTACAATTAATTAAGGTTTTTAGTTGAGACAAAAAAGTCAATGACACGAGCGGGATTGGAACCCACGATCTTCGGCTAGATATGCCGCTTCTCTACCACTTGAGCTATCGTGATCGAGATCCACTCGGACACAACGATGCCATTGGTAAAACCAAAAATAAAGCTATAACAGTGTTTGATGGCATGTTGTTGTTTGTTTTGGTTTTCTTTTGTGTTAAATTGTAAGATGGCAGAAGTTAATAAAAAAAGGAAAATTAATCAACTCTTTCATTCAAAATGTAATTCACTCAAAAAGTACTAACAAATTGCACGCTTCAATTCGTGCTGACATACCTAACTTCTAACCTAACGTCTAGCAACCTACATCTTTATAAGATATGGGATGTATCTATTATGAATGAGAGCATAAGGTCAGGTCAGAAATTAACAAAAAATGTATTGTTCTGATTTAATTAATGCGTTTAGGGATGGTAGAACCAAAAAGAAAGCTATAACATTCCTTGAAGACTTGTTGTTGTTTGTTTTGGTTTGTTGTTAAATTGTAAGATGCCAGAAAATAAGTAAGGAAAATTAATCAACACTATCATACAAAATTCTATCTAAGCACTCGAAAAGTACTAACAAATGACACGCTTCAAGTCGTGCCGACATACCTAACTTCTAACAACCTACATCTTTATAGGATATGGGATGTATCTATTATGAATGAGAGTATAAGGATAGGTCAGAAATTAACGAAAGAAATGTATTGGTCTGATTTAATTAATGCGCATTTAAGAATAAAAATCCGTATAAACAAAAAACAGCTGTTAAATTCATGGCTGCCATGTTGGTTACCTACGCCCTGACGGATAGCAAAGTGACTATTTTCTACCTAACATCTAACATTGGCCCTACCCAGTTAGATCAATATTAATTAGCCGATTCTTACAAGTCTACATTATCATTTTTCTCGATCTAACAGGACCTCACAGAGTTAACAGGGTTAACACAAAGATCGCGAATACTTCTATTGTTTATGAAATAATGAGCATGTGCTAAAAGGAAATATATTTCTGCCAATGTACCTGATTTAACCAATTGCTATGATAAATAATGTATAAATAGAAGTTAAGTTTTCGGGAAATTTCGTATACGTTAAAATAAGTATGTTGTAATTATTATAACGGACAAAATACATATATTCACTAATTTCGTGGTCAGCTTGA